TTTTTTTTTTTTTTTTTTTTTTTTTTTTTTTTTTTTAAATATAAAACAAGCACCAGTGTTGTATAAAGTATTTCTTTTTTTCTTCATCTCCTCCTCTCTCTCTCTCTGTACTTGCCACTGCTACTGTAATACTGTACTGTACACTACTCTACTCACTTGCTGCCTCAGAGACTGCAGTTCACATCGCAGAGGCTTCAACTCGTCCAACAGCTCCTTGGCCCTCTTGTCCCCGTCCCGCTGGACCTGGGCCACCTTGTCCTGCATGGCCTGAGCGTCGCGGGCCACGTTGTCCGTCTGCGCCTGCATCGCTCTCGCCATGTCGTCCACCAGGGCCTTGCGCTTCTCAGCCATCGTCGTCGCGTCCTGCAGCCGGGCATCCCGTTCCTGCGCCTCCAGCTGCAACTGGGCCAGCGCCGCTTCGCAACTCTGCAGCCGCTCTCGCAACTTGCCAGCATCCCGACGCACGGCCTCGCACTCCCGCCGCGACGCCTCCAGCTCCGTCTTCACGTCGCCCAGCTGCGCCTCCAACACGAGCTTCATCGCACTCGCCTCCTGCACACGCTCCATCAATTTGGCTTCTTTGGCCTGTCGAAAAATGAAACCCACACCCGATTCACTCTCTCTCTCTCTCTCTTTTTCCCACGGGGAGGAAAAAGGAAAAAAAAAATAATGTAGTACTGTTTCATACTCTTGATATTCAAGACTCGCCGCACAACACTACACACACTACGGTACAGTATATGCACCTGGAATGACTTGTTGGCCTCGTCCAGTTTGACCCTGACCTGCTGCAGCGTCTGACCCGAGTCGGCTTCAGCGACCCTGGCTTTCAACTTGTCCAATTCTCGACGGGCAACTTCCAACTCCGACTCGCGTTCCCGCTGCAGGAGCACGTAGCTGTCCTGCTTTCGGGCCAGTTGTTCTTCTGCCAACTGACATCTGCAAGCAGCCAAACAAATGAATTACAGTACAGTAATCTTCGTCGTTGTCGTCGTCATCATCATCATAGAGTCAAAGGACATGGTGTCTGTGTTTTGTACTTGAATTATGCAACAGCAATAATAAAAAATAAAAAAACTAGCCTTTCCTCCATGTCCCCGAGTCGCCTGCGGTACTCGTCCTCCATCGTCTGCAGTCGGCCAGACAGGGCCTCCTTTTCGTCCTCCAGCGCGCTCTTCTCCTTCATCCAATCGCCGGCCCAACTGCGCACTCGTCTCTCCACTTCTTCCACAGCCTTTCTCACCTGAATCCATAGATAAAAATGCTTGTACAGTAATTGTATTTGTTGCCTTTCCGACGGAAAGAGAACATTGCACTGTACTCTACATCCCACATGCGAGGACTGGAGAGGAGTGAAACCGGTGCAATACTAAACAAGCAAGTCCAAAGTACTGTATGCAGAGTAAGGGGAAGAAATTCAACACTCGAAAAATAAGTTTTAACTTTCATCTCTCTCTCTCTGTCTCTCTTTCACGAAGCAACCACAATAAATCGGGCCAATGCTTTCTTTTCTCTCTCTCTTTTCTTTTCTCACCTCGCCTTCATTGCCTTCGACGTGCACAAACTCCTCGTCGTCCCCGCCGGCGCCGGGACGCACTCCTGGCGCCGCCATGGCGTCCGTCAGCAGCCGCGTCAACTCGTCCAGTCGCGTCTCGTGCTCCCGTCTGCTGTCGCGAAGGGCGGCATTCTCGGCTCGGAGTCGGGCCTGCTCTTCGGTCGCCGAGTCCACTTGTGCCTCCAGCGCTTCTTTCTGCTCGCACACCTTCAATCCAGGAATGAGACATTCCCAAGTCAACGTAACGTAAAAACGCACCGAACCTAAATAGCTAATGTCGAGACAACAAATGCCTTCGTTTCTTTCAAAGGGCCCCTCTCTTATTATTTTTTTGTGTGTGTTTTGTTTTGTCTTTTTCTAATGACAGGATGAGAAAGAGAACGAAAAAAAAAAAAAGGTGTACCGCATTCAGTTCTGCCAAAACAGTCCGGTTCTGCATGCGGAACTCGTCTTCTTGAGACTGCAACTTTTCTTGCAGTCGCTGGTTGTCGGCCAACAACTGGTCCAGGTCCTTGGCCCGTCGTTTACTGTTGAGCGATGCCTGTGCCCGGTCCAAATTGGTTTGCAGAGACTGCACTGTGTTCCTCAAGCTCACCAACTCTGCAGCAACACAGGCACAATTCAAGTCAGGCCATAAATCAATCAATTAAAAAGCAAGCAAACAACTGATGGCTCATGCTCGGTCGGGGAAGTGAATGACGCCTAGGCATTCGTTCAATAGCATTTTCGTGTCAATCATTGATTATCCAGTCATTGCCCCGGATAATCTCAATTACTGAATTGTACCTACCCGTAACTGAGAGACTCTCTCTCTCTCTCTCTCCATCAAAGGATTTGTTTGTTGAAACGCGCAAAGATACAAGACACACATGGGGCAAGAAGCCAACACTCACCCGCATTCTGCTTCTTCCCCACTTCCTCCAAGTGGCAATTCCTAGAGCGCAAATCGATCACTTGATTCTGGCAACGATGAAACAACGGGGAGGGGCGGAAGAGAAAAGAAATTGCAATAGCAACAGCAGCAACAGTTGGCAACGAATGGCTGGAAAGCCCAGCCAAGGAAACAAACACGGCGAGAAACTCACTTGCAACTTCTGGAAGTCCTCCCATGACAAGTCCCCCATTTCGAAGCGATACTCTCATCAATTACCACACAGAGGGAAAAGAAACGATTTCTCGCAAAGTGTCAAGACGCATCAACCCACATAATTTATCCTGAAGAAAGACAAAATTGTACGTACGTGTCTTAGCAGTCAGTCAATCAATCAATAAATTTTATCGTGAAATGACGGTGAAAAGCGAATAATGTGCTCGAAAAAGCCAACAACAACCAAAACAAAAAAAAAATCACGTCGTACTGCACCTCTCCAATGCAACTCTCGCTCTCTCACCCCCGCAAGGCTTTATTTCGTTTCCACAATGACACCTGATCGAATCATCATCGCCACTCACTCCGCCACGCTGGAGCAAAAGGCCCTCACCACCTTTCCGAAAACAGCCCGAACAAATCGTAACAGACTCGACAGAAAAAGGTACATCACCCCTCTCGAACACTCGACACACTCGCAATCAATCAATCAATCAATCAGGAATCGTCACCGTGTGGAACCATTTCGCGTTCTCGCTCTCTCTCTCTCTCTGTCCCCCTTTCCCCCTCAATTAGGAACAAGAAAAAAACAAAACAAAAAAATGAAACGAACCAAAAAGATGCCTTAAATTTCCGCGCCCTGGCAAACGAGAAGCCTCCTTCTCTNGGAACAAGAAAAAAACAAAACAAAAAAATGAAACGAACCAAAAAGATGCCTTAAATTTCCGCGCCCTGGCAAACGAGAAGCCTCCTTCTCTTCTTCCTCCTCCTTTCCCCCCGGAACGGAGGCGAATAAAAAGTACAAACTCAAACAAACAGGTGTGAACCCATTTCTCCGCAAGGCAACCGATCGTGCGCGCAAAATATGTCCGCCAGTTGATACAACTCTGCTCGGCAAACACACGTACACACACACACGCAAGTACGCAATGCAAATAACAAATCCCTCTTCCTCCTTTTTTCTTTTTTTTTTTTTGTTCTATTTTTTTTTTTTTTTTTTTTTTTTTTTTTTTTTTTTTTTAATCCAACCCGTCGGCCAACGGAGTGTCCAAGTTCTGAAACTCCGACTGCTCCAAGCCCTTGTAAAATGACTCGTGCTCTTCACTCTCGTTCTCAATCAGCTCGCTCAGATCGGGCAGGATCTTGCTCGTACTCGGCTGTTGTTGCGGTGGTACTTGTTGTTGTTGTTGATGTAGTTGGTTGTTGTGGAGATTGTTGTTGTTGTTGTTGTTGTTGTTGGCCACAGACAGGGACTTGTTCACCTCGTCGTGCACCTTGTTGGCCACACTCGGATCCGACGCAATCTTGAACAACTCGTGCAAGTCAAAGTGCGCGTCACTCGACGTCAGGTACTCGAGGAATTTGTCCACGTCAAACTGCTGGCTCAACGGCGGCTCCGGGGGCGAGGCAAATCCGCTTGACGGGCCTTGCGACGTCGACGGAACTGCCACCGTCAAATCGTCTTCCGAGTCTGGTGGGCGAGACCAGTCATCATGAGAGAGAGAGAGATCCAACTTTTATCATTATTACAGTAATGTATTAGACTTACATGCCGGTCGCTTCTCTGGGATGTCGTTGGTGGTGGTCGTCGAGGAAGACCGCTTCCGGGTGCTTGAGCTGGTGGTGCTGCCGCCGCCACTCGACATCCGCGTCTCCTGTCGACCGTTGTTGTTGTTGCTACTGTTACTGTTGACGACAATTGCGACAGGCTCGCTTTTCACGTCCAGCATCGTCGCTTTGCCGACTTCTTCAACCACATGAGTTCCATCGGCATTGACAATCACCTGCACATTCACAAACACGTTTCCCTTCCAAGCCGTGGACAGACAGACAGACAGACGAAGCGAAAGAGGGGATCAAACCTTGTTGCCATCCAGGACGTACGAGATCCCCGGAGCAGCATAGTACGTGTTGGTGACGGGGTCGATGATGAGCACGTTGTTGCCCCCGACCGGGCTTTCGCCGTCCTCACTCATGACCGTCGCGGGTTGCACACTCAGAGGCATGGAGATTTCCGGCTCGTCCGTTCCAGTGCCCACGGACGAACAGGCAGTCGCCGTCATGCGTCCGTCCGGCGACGGCACATTCACGTACGACGGCATCACCTTCAGAGGCAGGAGAAAGAAGAACCCAATAAAAAAATTGCACATCCTCATCTTACCAATGATAACAAGACTGGACAGATGCTGATCATCATTTCATTCTCACATGAATTTTCTTTCTTTCTTCTTTCTTTGTTTTATTTGTTCGAGGAGAGGGACATGATGAGAAAAACACATACTGTACTGTACATACTCCGTCCCTTCCTTTTCCTCTCACTACGCGTCTCGTGGTCCGAGTTTCCCACAAAAATAGCCCATTGTACTACTGTACCGTACTTTACTGCACTTACAGGAAGAGTAGTCGTTGAGAAAAGAAGAAACAAAAGCAACACAAGTCAAGTTGGAAGAAGAGAAAAAGAAAAAAAGAAGAGGGGTCACCTGAACCATCGGCGTCGGGGCATGGGCAATGCTCTTGTAGCCCTCGGCATTCAACACCGTGATGCCGTCCGACGACCGCAGCAGGTCCGTCACGTCGTGGATGACGGGGCCCGGGGGAGAGCCAGATCCCGATTCCATCGACAGCCCCAAGGTGGACGAAGTGGTGGTGGTGGCCTTCCCCGAGGCGTCCCTGTTGATGCCCTGGCTCGACGGTCGCTCGATCATCAACGGGATCGGGCGTCCCGACGTCGCCGGCGACATCGGCGCATTCCGATTGTTCTTGTGTGGCCGCTGCACCAGCTTCACGAGGAACCTGCAATTATCCCGGAATGACGCAACGACAACAAGAGAACAAGTCGAGTCAAACCCTAACTTGTACTGTATCTACACTTACAGTAGGCACGTAGCCAGTGCATTTAATTTTTGCAATACTGTATACACAGTACAATATGAGTAACAGGCAGGTATCAGGTTTACAAGGACTATCTAGCACAGATCCATTTCAAAACGGGACAGTCTTTTCTTTCATTCTTCCCCTGTCATCACAGCCAGTGAAGGAAGAGATGAGCCCTTTAAAGAACGATAAGATCATGTACTGTACAGTGGTGGGTGGGTCGTTCGGTCAGGCAGGCAGGCCGAGGGCACCACGCCCGCTCGGGCCGATCACGTACTACAATGGTATGGCAACAAAGCATTATTTGTACAGTGTTGTAATAAAAATTAATCAAATCTATTTTGCAAATGCAATACTGTATTGGCACCCTAGTGTACTGTACTGTATTGTACTGTATCTCGAAGCATGAGAGCCATTACCGAGAACTGGTCGATTTTACTTGGCTTTCTTTTCCCCTATTTCGCGGAACAACCGTGGCTCCCTCGACCTTGAAAAATAAAATAAAACAAATTTCGGCGAATGCAAAGTAAAAAAAAAAAATAAAGAAACGAATATATAAATAAGAGTGCAGGGCAGCGTTAACTGGAATTCACAGGCAACTATCGCACAGCCGTTATGCTGTGGAAGCCCTCACTTCTTGGCAATACTTTTGCCTGCTGTTATTGTTCCACACTCACTCGCTGTTCTCGGTATAGAGAGCCATCCGATGAAGCAATGATATAATTATATTGGGATTCGGGGAAGCACTGCACCGTACTGTGCTGTGCTGTAATCAACAGTGTGAAGCATGGACAACTTGCCTGATGATTTTGTCCACCATTTGCCCCTGCTGCATGTTCTTGCGGTGCAGCGAGGCGATTTCCCTCCAGAGGACCTCGTTCTCAGTCGTGAGGGAGGCGAGCTTCTTCTCGGTCTCGGCCTGTTTCGCGATGACTTGTTGCACGGCCGACGCCACGGACATGAGGGCACCCGTCGACACTTGGCCCTGCACTTCCTTGCTCACCTCGGGCTTCTCTTCCGACGAGCCCTTGTGATGCGCGGCAGGCTTCCGTTTGATCAGCCGAAGAAACTCTGGCTTGTCTCTGGGAAAAAAAAATAATAATCAACAACAGTTTGAGGAACGAGCAACAAATGGCATGAATGCTGTAATCAGTTCACGCTATAATCCCAGGGTTACTCGTCGGGTTAAAGAGAATACCGTACTGTAAAGTACAGTTCTGCACGAGCATTGATTGTTGCCGTTCATTTTCGTGAATTTTACTGTAGGCTTACAGTTTTGCAGTTACACAGAAGAAAGTTGTACGCTTGCAGTTTTACAGAAGAAGCGTTTACTCGTGTCCCGCGTTTTTTTTTTTTTTTTTTGCGCTCGAACAGTCCGCTCAATTTGTCAACAGTTTCAAATCTATTTCAAAATAAAAAAAAACACATCTTTACAGAAGAAGAGTTTCAAAACTTTCGATGTTGTCCGTCAAAGCGAATGCAAGGATTTGACTCACCGGAGAAAGTAGGGATGTCGGAACTCGAGACACTCTCGCTCCGTTTTCACCAATCCGCCATCACCAACGCCCGTCACTTTGTGGAACCCGTACAAATTTAGTTGCCGCACGAAAGATGCCAAATGATTGTGCTTAAAGTAGACGGGCAAAATTTCCTCGGCGAAGGCGACTGGGTTGGTTATGACAAAGGTCAGACCTCCCGGTCCCCAATGTATGATGTCGTCTATGTTGCCGTCCTCCACAAGGACCCGTAGTTTGAGCAAAAACCCGGGAATGGAATTGTGATTGTCGGGATTGCCGACTGCCAGGGCGGCAGCCAGTTCCGACGACTCCACCATGTTCACTTGTTCTCCGTTTCCCGCGGAGTCAGCGTCACGTGGTGTGCAACGAGAGTTTTGTTGGTCTTTGCTGCGTACTTGAGCGATGATTGCGGAATCTCTTCAAACAGGGGGTCACGAAGGCTCGAATTCGCCGCTTTGGTTTCCTCGAAGAAGAGACAGGTTCCTTGGTCGTCCCCGACTCGGGCCTTGTAATCCCAGCGCCCTAACCGAATCACAGGGGTCGCGGTGTCGAGACCAGAAAACTGAATGTTGTCCGCAGCCCGACGCAAGTCTGCGTCATCAACTACTCCGTCGAACTCAACGAACACAGTCACCTCCTCGTATTCTGCACTATCGTTTACCGGTTCTTCACTCTGATCTGTCATTCTCCGCGCGGAGCAGGAAGGACATGTTGAAATTAGTCCCTAGTAAAGTAACAGCAACCCCGTGTGAGTCGACGGAAGGCCGAAAACAAGGATGACTTATCATCGTGAGGAAGAGCCACACCGAGTTGACATTGCACAATGCGACCTTGGGTGTCACAATAGCAATACACACGAAATGGGCAGATTCCCGGAGCGAACTAAGCCCTCCTCAACACAGGAACTCCACAGTGCAAAAAAAGATAACCGAACGACCTTCAAACTCAGCGGCAAACTTCTCAAATAATTCGTTCGAAGTGATGTTGAAAACTTGAAAATGGAGAAATTAACACTTTCTCTGTACAAAAGTCTTTCAGACAGCCATAAAATATTCCTTCGTCTTCTCATTCGCGCATTATTTCACTAAACAATTACTCGAGCTACGCGACCTCAGACTTCAACCGCATGGTGCTGACCATTGCCGACTATCGTCGTCATCTCACATAGTAATAAAACTTATGGAGAACCAGATCGGATTTTTCAAGGTCACCTCATATTTTCAATAAACCCATTATCGAACGCTTAAAAAAATGTCGATTCATTCCCGTGGCAAATGTTGAAATAAGAGCATTCCTTCTCTTCAAATAAAGACAGAAATCTCAAAGGATGCCATTAACTCTTTCGTATATCCACGATGTGAAGAAAACCTTGACGGTTCCATGTGGGTAGACATCATGCAGAGCGAGTAGAAAGCAATCAAAGATAAGCTTTGAGGTTTACAACGACACCTTGATTTTTGCAATCACTTGACGCGGGCTAGAAGGACGATTTCCAACAGATGTCACTGTAATTGATCATCGTACACTCACGCGGTGATGGCGTCCAACCGATGTATATTCTGTGCTTCTTGTGAAAGAAACCTGCTGGTTATCCTTCACGACGCACGTACAAGCCTTGCCAAAGAATGAAATGATGATACTGTATTTCAAATGAGGTAATTATTTTAGTTTCCGTAGCTGGAGGAGTACTTAATTGGATGAAAGTATACCACATTAATTGTTTCTATTTTCATTCGCTTAAGTATCATTATAAGCTCTCAGGAAACTTCAGATCAGAAGTTCAGCTGACTCTGCTGGACGTCAAATGCTGTAATTGAATCAAGCATTCAAAATTAATTCAATTATTAACGTTGAAGTCAATTTACGGTAATTAGTAACTTCGCAGTTAATTTTACTTGAAAGTCAATTAATGTACGGAAATTATTATCTTTGAAGTAAATTCAAATATTAACTTTGACATGATTTCAATTAATAATTTTATTGGGGACATGGTTATAGAATCGACTAAGAACGTCATTACTCACAGCAACGGCCGGATATGCCCATCCACTGCACAGTCCCTACATTAACCTTTCGACTTCCTCAACTGATTGTGATTTTTAAGCGACATCACTTGAGTACTGAAACAAAAGTTGATTTCAAAGTTTTAAATATTGAATGTAGGTGACACTGCATACAGCGAAGAATAAAGAGAGTGACATCTCTTGCTATTTATAGTAAATTTGTCTCGAGTTACAAACATACAATGTAGATGACAATGCTCAATATTAAGTGACATCTCGTTGCAACGCACAAAGCTGGACATTCAGGTATTAACGCTGAGTGCAGGTGACGTTGCTTAGTTCTTTGAGGTACATCTTATGAAAAATAACTCCCGTACTTATCAATACTGTACTGAGTATAGGTGAAGCACGCTGAGTCGTTTAGCAACATCTGGTCGTAATGAAAACACATTGTGGTTGGTGTGGTTGGAGAAGTCAGCAGATGATACAGCTGTGAAGACTTCCGGTACAAATATAATTAGATATATTCGAAAGTTAATAGAAGAACAGATGTCACTCGGATAAGGTGGAATAAATACGTTCCACCTCGAATTAGACCTCGGTAAAGGAATAAATCAGCATTTTGAATCGCTTTTAAGGAGTTGGTTTAGTTCATTCGAAAGAAACAGCGATTCATCTCTACATCGTCGATCATGACCATGCACTCGCAGTTTCCTTCCTTCGGATGCAATTGTACGCAGGTCTACTGATGTACAGTATACGAAATTTTTTTTCTTCAGGATTATGCATGCAAACCTTCCTCTGGACTCAAGGCAAACGGATGTATAAACTCATCCAGTGCGTGTGTATATAATGACTTGCAAGAAATTAAGCGTGTTGCAATCAACTCCAAATAATTCGTTAACACCAAAATACAGGACAGTATTGATAAGTGACGTAATTGCTCATTACTTTCACCATCCATGATGTTGTATATAATCGTAATCCTCTCGACACATGAGTTTTTCATGACAGAACTGACGTAATCTGCACACGTCCTTCACCTGTGCGACACGATGAGAGAGGCCCGTTATCATGACGATTGATTGCACAAACGCGTACCTATTGCAATTATGTTCACAAGCGCGAACTCGAAGGACAGTACGCCGCATTGCGCTTCAATCATTCATTCAGTGTGCAGCAGGCATTAGAAAAAGACATCATGTCCGCAAGACGTGAGAGTCGTTTTCATCCAGCATCAGCTGCCGTAACTTTCTTGCTGCCATTATTAGCGGCACTCACAGCTGCTTCACCAACGACCAGCACAGAGAAGACTCAGAGTAGAGTCGTGCAATACATGAGCCAAGAATCAATCATTGATGTCTGGGCTCCGTGGACGAAACAACAAGCTCAACTGGGGGACGCTGGAGGCGGGCTTCAACGCCGACGAGTGTCGCGACATCTGATCCCAAGCTCCCAGGAAAAGATCGACTTCCCGTGCAATGTTTGTCTAGGTGTCGCTGATGCACTCATCGGAGATCTTCAGGAAGGAATCTCGGTTCAAGAAATAATCGATGCTCTCATTCCTCTCTGCGCCACCTTCGTCTACGACACTGACGTGTGTCAGGGGATTCTCTACGGCACTGGGGTAATGTTAATCGCCCCTTTTTTTTTCTTTTGACAAGATTAATGCTTTTGCTGCTCCAAGATATATATGAGCTGCTGATGCTGGTACACTTGAAGGATAATATTGAAACTTATTCTTCATCATGCCGTTTACAGCCAACCGTAGCGTGGGTCATTGAAAACAGTCCGTCCTTCGACCCGAATCGGTTCTGCGCTGAGGGGATCGGAGCCACCAACTGTGACGAGTATGTTCCGAATCCTGAGATGTGGTTGGTCGACTTACCTGACGTTCCAAAGCCCGACAATGTGGAGTACCCTGCAGTTCCCGTAAGTATATACAGCAGTATACCAAACAAGACAGCATAATCATTTCGGCACATATATTTCACATGAAGAAAGGATACATAGTTAACTACATACTGCTGTACAGTACATATGCACTCTCGGTACGCTATATTTTGGGATTATTATTGATAATAACACGCCCCCCCCCCTGCTCTCGCATCACGCAGGAGGGGACGGAAGGAGTGAAGGTTCTGCACATCTCCGACATGCACTTGGACATGATCTACGAGGAAGGGAGCGAGGAGCAGTGCAGCAAGATCATCTGTTGTCAGAGCATCGACGGCCCAGCCGATTCCCCCAACACTGCAGCCGGGCTCTTTGGCTCCTACGCAGACTGCGACATCCCGTTGCTTACCGTGCAGGCCACACTGGACCACGTCCTTTCGCAGCACCCTGTAAATATACATCTGTACTGAATACAGTGCAGCATATATATATATATTTCTAGATGAACACCGACGATGATCGTAGCCAGCTTCCTTCTTTATACAGCAGCAGTGGATGTACTCGCTCACGACAGCATTTCTTTTTTATTTTATTTCAAATTTATTGCATTTTTTCAAATACAGTAACTTGAATAAAATATATAATACTCTGCCAATAATGGAAATAATGCGTCTCTATATACGAACATAGCAGTCGAGTGAAAATACGTTAAAAGCGTCAGGTACACACAGTATATATACTGTTGTACAACACAATCCTTTATTTTTGTTTTAGTTAAAATTCAATAATAAAGCGCGGGTTTATTATTGTACCGTATGTATATAGGACGTGGGACTGGTGCTGTTCACCGGCGACCTTCCGGCCCACGACCTCTGGCGGCAAAGCGTGGAAGGCAACCTGGACACCATATCTCAGGGCATGAATGCCATCCGTCAAGCCTTCGCCGAAATAAACGTCCCAGTGTTCACTGCACTCGGCAACCACGAACCCTTCCCCGTCAACGTGTAAGACGACCAAAACATATTGCGTATACTACTGCACATAAATATCCTCCATTCTTCCCTATAAACTTAATCAACCAGCATACATATGATGGCATCATCATCATCGAAGTAGGCTAATATAGAAGGAAAAACAGTGTTTCTTTTTCCTATATACAGTACATCCAGTACTGCTGAATACTCCATCTTCCCATTATTCTTGATTTCAGCTAGGGTGTTATTATTAGAGAGAGATGGAGTAAGAAGAATCCGTGGTTATCGTGATATATACTGTATGATGCTGCTGCTGCTGCTGCATGCTCGACGACTATATATAAATATGAACAGCAGCATCAGGGCAGTATTATTGATATATATCACGTACTGTACTGCACCGTCTCAACTATATATTGTACATAGTAAATTCAGTATAGTACTGTATATACTGCACATCAGCAGTACTTCAATTACATCATATATAACACGCAGATACTCGTTCGACGGCCTCGACAACCTGCCGGCGGAACTGTCGACGCAATGGGTGTACGACGCCGCGTGGCGAGAGTGGAGCACGTGGCTGCCGGCCGACCAAGAGGAGTCCGTTCGCCACTCGGGCAGCTTCTCCGTCCTCGTGCCAGGCACCAAGTTGCGCGTCATCAGCTTCAACGACATCTACGCCTACGACAACAACTGGCTCATCTGGATGGACATCCCAGACCCCAACGGCGTCCTCGCCTGGCTGGCCCAACAACTCCAGGCGGCGGAGACAGCCGGGGAAGCCGTCTACCTCATCAGCCACATCCCACCAGGCAAGCAGCACCACTCTTCAACAACAACAACAACAACAAGAAAATAAAAGCGAATTAACCAATCAATTAGAAAATAAATAAATAAATAATCAAAGGAGAGGGAAAACCAACAGCACTACAGTCCTGTTCTTGATTGATTTGCAGGCAGCATGATCCCCGTGTGGAGCCACAACTTTCACCGGATCGTGAGCCGGTACGAGGCCACGATCCGCGGCCAGTTCTACGGCCACACGCACAACGACGAAATCAACGTGTTCTACGACGGCGCCTCAGCCAGGGCCACGTCGGTGGCCTTCATGGCGCCCAGCATCACCACCTACACCGAGCTGAACCCGGGCTACCGCGTATTCTACGCTGACGGCAACCGCGGCGTCGAGGACAGCACCTGGGCCCTCATGGACCACGAGACCTGGCTCTTCGACCTGGAACCCGCCAATGCAGCCGGAGTGCCGGATTGGTACAAGTTCTACAACTTCAAGGCGGCCTACGGGCTGCCAGACTTGTCGCCAGCGTCCATGGCGCAGCTCGCCGACCAGCTAGGGACGGACCAGGCCGTCTTCGACTTTTACTACAAGTTCGTGTCACCATAATTTCCGCGCTCGAAAGAAGAAAAAAAGAAAAAAAAAAAACTGTGTACATGCAGTGACTCATCGATATGAAATCAACAGAACTAACGTGAAACCTTTTCAGGGCTGGAATAAGACTGATGCTAATCTAGCCATTTTTCACGCACGAAAATTTTCACAGCACCAAGTTTGGGTCAGAAACACAATAAAAATCATAAAGGATGCCATAAAAAAGGTAATGCAGAGCTAAGAGCTGTATACGCATGAAATATGAAAGAATCATCAAGGCAAATACGACACATTTTTTGATGCACTCGACCTTATTATTGTTGAATATTCTTCTCATCGTTGTTTGTGACTGCACAATGCATCTATACAGCAGGCAAAAATGCACAACTACTACATGTATGCATCCGTCACAGCTGTTGAGTGAAAAATCAAATGCATCAACAGATCGGATTATGTCCGGTTTTATAAGCGCAATACTGTATATATCAAGAACAATAATAAACGCTCATGAGCAAAGTGCGGAATGAAATTGAAAACCTCCGGAATTTGCTTAAAAATAAGCCATTCGTCACAATTCTTCCGATTTCTCAATTTGGAAATGAGTTCAAATTTCAATGAAGTATCTTGCGATTTACATGTTCCGTCATTCAATTAAAAAAATTACGTACATTAAACGCTTCCCATCACCGAACAGTATTTTCTAGGCTTATTCAAAGTGGGGGGGGGGAAATAATTTTTTTTTTTTTCAATCACAATATTCGAATTTCATTCATTCAACATCGCTCATCTGATTGCAGCGGCTACTGGAAAAACTCTCCGAGGAAGCCAGACTGCGACGCAGAATGCCGCGCAGATTACGTCTGCGACGCTGTGACAGCCGACTCTAGCGACACTTCCCGGTGCTGAATCAAGATGGCGCCCCACCATCCACTCCTCTCGAGTGTGAGCGCGCGCGCAATATTGTAATTCTATATTCTGCGTTCAATAAGAACCGCGTATCATCATCATGTTGTTTTATTTTTCGTGAAATAAACGAGGTTGCCCAAAACCAAAAAGGAACAAGTTCTTTCATGCTTGTGCATGTATCCTTCACCATAGCTATCCCGTTTTATTCTTGCCCTCATGGACCTTGTTGGTCGCCTCGTGGGCAGAGTCGGAGATGTCCTTGAAGAGCGCCGCGTGGTTGCTCCGAGCTCTCCACAGAGGCAACCCCTCATCTGGTTTCTGCAACCCGTTGTCGCCAGCGGGGCCCACGATATCCCTCAGCAATGCGAAAGGGGTCCGCGTTCCGTTTGGGGTGTCGGAGGATTGCAATTTTTTCAGCCCTTCATCAGAAGTAGCAGCAGTCAGTCTATAGCACAGATATACAAGAGTAACCACGAACCAATGAGCCTTCTTTTCGCCAACATCGGCAAATTCGAAATATCGTGCATATATAACGCAGGAGCTAGCTGTGAGCTAAATTGAGGGAGTATCATCAGCACGACGATGATTACGAAAAAGGGCCACGAAAATATAAACTGCACGTTAGACCAAGAGCGTGATTAAAGTATCACACTAAAAAAAAAAAAATAAAATCTTCCATGTACACAAGTTATTCCTCCAGAGCGAAGCATTCTTTCCAGGCGTATTTAAATGTTTTTCTGGCGAATGCTCGCTTCCCATCGTTTGCCAACACCTTCGAAAATTTGGACACGACCTAAGAAAAATAATGAGAACCGAAATTTCTGCAACTCCTACGCAATGCTACCTTATACTGTATATACAACGCATATTTCACTCATAGCCTTGTTTAACCTGACGCCATGGCAGACAACAATAAAGGAGAAAGAAATGGAATGTAGTATAATAAGCAATAAAATTGAAATTACTCCGACATCTGCTTTCCGAGTTTTGCGACCGTCTTTTGCAGGGCCTCCTCAGTCGAGGCTCTCGCAGCTTCAGCAGCAGGGGAAGAGACGAGCATCTTATTGTGCGGAGGAATGAGCTGTTGTCCAACGCCGGCAATGTCCGGCCGGGTGCCCGGAAATGACAGACTGGGAGGAAACCTTGCCGATGGGGCAGCTACTGCTGCTGGACGAGGCACCTGTACAAGAGCAGGTGCGCTGTTGAACCCTCCCACCGGGAACTGCTGACTACTAGACGCCAAGACCGCCGGATCCAAGGACGACCCCGCCATCGCCTGACGCGGCACCTGAAGCCCAGCTTGGACATCATCGACTCGCCCCTTGCGCTCTTTCTTCTGCGGTTGCTGGCGACGTTTCGCGAGCTTCGCCTGACGTACATTCCATTCGATTTTATAAAAAATATAATAATATTTCGTCGTCTTTCAATTGACCCTCACTATATATACCACCCCGTCAGTCAACTAATATATACAGTACAAAGTGAACCAACCTTGGCTCTTCGCAACAGCTTCTGAATCCTTTCGTTCCGACGCAACACAGAGACGATCCTTCCGAGCTCCTTTTGGTTCACAGCAGCTGGCGTTCGCCGCGTAGTCACCGTTGACGAACCCGTCTCTTCCTTATTGATGGCAATCGGCAACCCAGCAGCAGCACTGTCGACAACGACGGACGTGGTCGAGATGAACCGCACAGGCACCGGTAAATTCGGCTTCCTCATCATAACCGCCGGCAGCACCGGTTTCATCTCCAGGATGGAGTCATTCTTCGTAGAGCTGACTGCTGTCGGGGCCACACTACTACTCGGAGCTAGAGACAGAGACGTCGTCGTCGTCGTCGTCAACGTCTTATTGTCCTTCTCTTCTGTTTGACGTTGATGAAGGATTCTCGTTCGCCATGGCTGGGAATTCATGGGTGACTGCATGGTGGGATGAGATGCAATCGTACGCGGTCACAACGAGTGAAGTACCATCACTCACTATATACAGTACTGTGTTAAATTCCACGCAAGGCATGTCAAGAGCGATGACGTACCAGCGACAAGTACAATCATGATATTTTTTTTTTCTCTCCAGTCATTCGCTTATTTGTCAGCGCAAATACGTACAGTACTGGACTGTACCCCGGGCAATGTCAAACTAGGTTTGGTATCCTCTCGTAGATGTCGCTGGCATCGAGTAACGGGAATATCATCCGTGGCCACTGAAAAGTCTACCTGCGTAGTTCCAGGGATTACCACGGCGTTGTCATTGTTGGCCAATTCGAAGTACCACTTGTCAATCGGCACAGAGACGACTGGTCGCGAGGGCGTTCCTCCTTTGGGAAAACCATCTCCGGGGTTGTGGTTGTTCACGTTCAGCAGTTGCTGATCACGACGAGGCCCCTCCGAAACACCCTCTGGCAAAATGCGGGACATTACACGGGGTTTCTCAAGATTCCAGCGAGACAATTTTACTGCAGGGCAAACGCAACCCCCAGACGGGAACACTTATTTCAACAACAAATTTGGCACATTTTTATAAAATCTCTCTCTCTCCTTTAAAAAAAATTCTTTTGTTGTTGTTGTTGTTGTTGAAAGAAATAGGGAGAAACTCGTTCCGCTACACCAATGATAAATTGTTGTAACTTGGATCGATGGATGGATCCATGCAACAGCATGCAGGACTTACCTGCTTGTTTTCATAGCAAGTCTTTAAAAGCCGTCCGTATCTTAAAAATTCCATCAGATATTTCTTTCCGGTGCCATCACAACTATTACAGCTGTACAGTATACTAACCATATTTCAACGTCGGCGGGGACTCGGGCCATTTCTCCTCGGGACGAATACTAGTGACTACGCCATCAGTCGGAGACCGCTTGGACAAGACATGCGGCTTTTCATTTTCCCTGCTATACGACGCCTCTTCAGAGTAATCCTCGTCGAGTTGATCTTCCCAAACAGTCAGGACGGAGTGCTTCGTCGTACGACGAACAGTCGTCGGTTTAGTCTCAACGGGTGCTTTCGTGGTTAGATCCAAGCTGTACTTCTTTTCCGCGATTTGCTGCAGAACCGCCTTCCTCCCTAAAAATGACGGCGGGAATAAGAAACGAAAAACACTACAGTATTTTCAGCTGGGACCCAAAGTACTGTGCGTACGGACGATGGCTTATAGAAACGAGTCACGAGTTTCGCCGTCCTAATTCATATAGAGTACAGTACCTCGTACCGCACTTGAGAAAGTTATCACTCTTCACCAGAGAGGTAGTATTATAGACGTTTACATTTCGTGCGGTATATGAAACATTTCAACACTTGCGGTGGGAATAAATCAAGCTCACGAAGGATTGTCAAAAGCAAGAAAAGTGAAGCCAAGCAGTGATCTTCACCATCTAAAAAACACACAAAATTCAAATCAGAAAAAGAGAAAAGAATGGAAATTGGGAATACACTTAGTATAGTGGAAACAAAACGCGGTCCTTGCACAGCTCAAGACACGGATACACACAAACTGTTGAGGGTACATTTTCCTGCGCATCTTGACATCACGACTATAAAGCATGTTTGACCCAACAAAGGAAAAAAAATGGAAGAAATCCCAATTCACAAAATGCCTTTGAACAATTTTCTCCTTGCCCAAGGATTTCAACCCAAGGAACAATAAACCACGATTGCACATGATTTTCGGAGCTCGTGTAATAATAGAAAAGAAAAAAAAACACACACACACACACTTCACGTGCTAACCGGCTAACGGCTATTATCTCGAGTCCATGACTCCTCAATCGTTTTCATCAAAGGAGCAATAAGTAAAGCAGTTACTGGGTAAAAAAATAAAAAATAAAGGAAGATTGCATAAAAACAATAATATGGACTCACCAATGACGGGCGGCTCGGGTGGCGAGAAGCCGTCGTCGAAAAAGGCGTCTTCGGCCTTTCGGACGCTCATCACCGTGGACTCGGAACGGTTTCCCGCCTTGGCCAGGTGCGACGACGGCGCGTTCTTCAATCGATTCCTCTTCATCATGCTCAGGATGTCCTTGACGTTGTCGACGACAGCCACGGTCCCAGTAGTGCCACGCTGCTTCGAGTCCAAGTACTCGACCAGCGACAGACGCCCGTCCACTGCCGTCGACGGACTCATCTTCCGCTTCTTCCCTTCCCACCGATCTATCTTTTCATGCAACGCTCTGCGTCGAGGCCGAGAGGAACAAAAAAAAAAAGACAAAAACATATGCAGTATTTTCCAACAAGGCACAACATTCTATAAATCGGCGTCAGCAGCAGGAACAGCAGCAAAAGAAGGCGGGAAACTTTGAATCGATGAGGGTTAAAGACAGAAAATATTTACACATCATACTGACACAATCCCATTAAAACAAAAATTGGGGGGCATTGTAAAGAGAAAATTGTCATCTTTCTCGGAGGAACCCGATAACGTGTCTTTTACAGTATTATTATTCCCTCATCCAAGTTGCCATTTATTGAAATCCTTCTCGCCCGTCTTTAATAATTCCTTAAAAATAAAACTCGTGGCTTGTGCTGGCTGTCTGATGGATGACTGTGAACACCAACTAAGAACTAACCTTCTTCACATCAACATTTAATGACTGAAAAATATGCATGACCGAGGTATGCTTCACGTACTATATACAGTACCTGAGGAAGGCGTCGTCATCCATGTTCTCGGGATCCTTATTGGAATCAGCCTTGCCCATGTCCTCTTTGACTGGAGCTAACCTCAGGACGGCAGGAGAGAGCACATTGCTTTTCGGCAACGAGTCCTTGGCTAACGTTTCTACAATTCGGCGAGCGAGACGATAATTATAATTACTGTACAGCCAATAGTATGCCGTAAATTGCATCAAACCTTTTCCTTTGGAGCGAGCCGCGACATAATTTCTCTAAAACTCGAAAAACACAGTACTGCGTCCTGTATTACACGATGTCGACGAACAAAAATCTTTCGAGTATCTTACACAGAAGCCCGGGTCGTCCACATACTCGAATAATTGACCTTCAAACATGATATGCCCTCATTCTACATCTTTCCAACGTGGAGAATAAGTCATTATAACGGCCATATGAGTCGTTGCTAATCACAAAAAGAATTAACGATGTCGATCTCGTTCGACATCAAAAAAGAAGAAACATTTACCACAATTATGCGCACTCAAGTAAGCCGAAAAAAAGCAAGCAAACAAACAAAAAAAGTATAGCATCTCAGACAGAAGGGGGGGCGGCCTGCGGGTGGAGCAAAGGGGCGGCTGCCCTGCTTATATAGGCCCTATAATGCTGCAGCTGTGGCTCCGGAAAATTTAATTTTCATTTCAGACACTTGAAAGTGAAGGGCACCCCTTTTCTCAAGAGCAAAAGTAAAACAACGTACATTCTCACCTTCTCTCTGCCTAAAAAAAAAAAAAATAATAAATGAAGTTGTCTCTTGAAGACTTTCTCATGACCTTTTCCTTTCCTGCTTTTTCCTATCCCTCCTTCGGTTTTATCACCAGCACATCAGCAGTATAGCTTGAGCAGCATCAACTCTTTTCGCCACAAATGATTTTATGAAAACTTGTAACGGCTTTCCATCTGGCGAATCATGAATATACGCTATTTCTCAACTGTGCATATGAATGGTTCGTAAAGGAACGAAGTCGACAACAACTTTCGGCATGCTTTAAATAAGATTCTCACGAGCCAACTCTCAATTATTATTATTTTTTTTTTTTTTTTTGCACGGTGTCTCAACAAATCAGTGAATGGAATCATCCGTCGCTATAATTTTAAAGCGGAGTACCTTCATGAATCAACACTATTTCCCAAAAGTGTGAGCATGGCATTCGAAACTATAATAGACAGAGCAAGCAATATAAGTTCTGGAACACAAGTCAACTCGGATGGAAGATTCTCTCCAAATGCAGAAAAGTTTAAAAAATACAAACCTAAGACTTTTCCAAAGGGTTATTAACAATAAATGGTCCAAATTCATCAATCAAGCACAGTACAATGCACCCTAACATCATGTTATGTGTCTGGTCCGTCTGCCTCACGTAAGAGTTTGCGAAAAAGTCAAGGTCTTTCTTTGAGGAACCTCCAGCATTCTTTCTCATTAAACATGCAGGTCAACAAACTGATCTCGGAGTAACCTATAGAGATTCTAAAAAATAAAATAGAATTTGAATTACGTTAGCCAAAATTCAACCCTCGATTCGCTCGGAATTATGAGAATTGTTGTCTGAAAATGGGTGTTTGGCTTGAATATCTCTTCTTGCGGGGCACCCTCAAGTCCTCCAACACATCGTCTGACCATAGTTTGAGGAGATCTGTTGAGGTTCTCGAGAGAAAGATCATGACAAATTACAGCAGAGTGGAATTGATTTCTTTTCTTTTTCTTTCGAACTCGTCTCATAATAGAGGATAAAACGTCAAACTGTCCGAGTTGTACGAGAAGGAAAAGAAAAACCACAGACACAAACAAAACAGTGTGTGTGTGTGTGTCAATCCACTCACCCGGCAAAACTTGCAGCAACGAGACCAGCACTACTGGGAACCACGGAACCGATGGCGACATGGTCGAGACCGATTTGACTCAACACCGCGGTCTCTCGTCAGCCAGGCAAGGCGCCGACGACGCTCCTTCCATAACCCACACTGTTGCGACGGCGTATTGTGCAGTCACCGACTGCAAGCCTTACATATTCTTCACATCCCTCGCCAACATCATAGGTTGAAAAAAAAAAAAAAAAGGGGAAAAAAAAGGAAAGAGGAAGTCAAGCAAATACACCCTTTTCCTCATCTCCGCGGCTTGAGAGAAACCTCGAAGAAAAAAAAGACTAGGACTGAGTATTTTACCGCAGAACTGGCGAAAAACGCCAGCGAGGTTTTCTCCCGGCACGATGGAATTTCTTCTCTTCCCAGAATGCACAGACGGCGGGGAAACAGAAAGTACTACTGCACACAGACACACGAGCGGACTCATCAAGAGCACAAGAGAAAGAAAGGAGAAGAGGTGGGAGGAAAAGGAAAGCTGTGTCTGTACCGGAAGGCATGACAAAATATTGAACGAGTTCCCACGCGGCACCACCCTGGGGAAATACAAAAATAACCTCATCCGCCGGACAGCTATTTATAAATTGCCAGTAGCTTCGGTACGAAAAACTCCGCACCATTTTTCATCCCTCTCTCTCACTCTCGATGCACCCCCGCCGCCGCAAAGTGCTAAAATCCCACCTCGCAAGTGTGCGGTTCAGTGACGAAAAAGGCCAAGGGCAAATGCCCGGCTCGCAGCATACACATTGTGCGTATTTGTCGGCTGGTAGGTGCATGATGAGCTCCGTCCATGCCTGTCTTTCACATCTCCTTACTCTGCGGCATCCATCCACGGTTGGTGTCATCCTTCCTTCCTTCCGTCCGTCCATTCTTCCTTTTTCTTCCCATTGCTCGCATTCACAAACACAGAGCGCCAAACAGGGAAACCCGCAAGTCTTCAACGAAGAAACGAACAAAGCCCCTGGCGACGCCGATGTCAGCCCAGAATCCGACGATCGACTGATGCCGTAAAATAATTGCACTGCACGAGAAACAAACCTGTTGAGGAGATGTGCGAGCAAACACAATCTCGGGGTGATTTCGCAGAATGTTGTCCAACTCGTCAGACGACAGATCGCGGAGTTCCTGACCGTGGACTACACAAATCAGACCCTCCAGTGGAAAGTTCTGCTTCTCCGCGTCAAACGGATAATTTGTCGGATACTTGTCTTCCGGCAATTTATAGTCGCAAAAGCCTGCGTATGAAAGAATGATGTTGAAAACGCGCGAATATAAGTAATAAGTTAGATATAAACATGGGCAAGAATTGGGACTGAGATAGAACCAAGAGTTTCCACACGTGATATGACTGTTATTCACAATCAACATCATCTGACTAATAAAACGACACTCGATTCACGTGAACATTTATTCGATATTTTTTTGCGTCCAACTTTCGTGACATCTTCAAGAGCGACACCTACAGGAATAATGACGAAACACTACAAGAAATTAGTTTAGTTTAGCGGTAAGATGTCGACACTGCAAAACTCGACGCTAACGACACCCACACTTGCGGAAAAAGACCATCAAAAGATTATGCTTTTGTCAGAGGAGAGATGTCGCTAGTAACATTTTAAGAAACGACATCTATTTATCTTGAATTGAGTTGTTTTTACAGCATCTATCAACTATGTGACGAGATGTCGCTCGTCGCGAAACAGAGAAGCGCATTTCCCCCTCGAATTCCCTCTGGAAACTCACCCAAAACGCACTCTCCAAGACTGCCCAACTCCAGGTACGCCGTCTTGAATGCGTCCATATCCAGTTCTTTACCTCCAATGAGGATCGTTGCACACCGCTTCAGAATCCTCTCGGGAGCGCCTTTCATAACTATAGCAAGTACGGATCGTCACTATATATAGCATCCTCCGTCTCATGGATGCTCACCTGCAGCCGCCGAAAACACGTTTACTTTTGAGATTCACAAGGGATTGTCATTGCTTCATCGTTTTCAAATACAAACCCGGTATTTGTTTGTTGAATTGAAGGGAATCTCGCAGACCTTCTTGTGTCGTTGGCGATATCACCCATCGCAGCCTCCAAAGCATCTCCCGCAACTTCCCTGATGTTGAAGTAAATAAAAAACCCAATAAATCCTCAACTTCAAACGTTGCCCGAGAGAAGGCATACAAAAAAAAAAAAAAAAAAAAACTATGTTCTTTTTACACATGAGCATCAGAAATGAGGATCAGTCAAAGAATGAAGAAGAAGAATCAACGCGAATACAAATGTACTGTACTGTCAGCTGACTATAGAAGAAGGAATTGAATAATCTCAGTAAGTTTGTTAGCAGCTATCCCTATAATCATAAAAATACATCACGCCAGGGTACAGCAATATCCGTCAAGATTTCGTCGTCCGGCTCGTCGATTACCATACGTCAACCTTGTTTCCAGGCCAACACAATTTAATTTTCACTTGGGGAATACTGTACACCCAAAACGTTTCCAGAGCGACGGATAGAGAAGTTGATCATCAACTCACGGTGACGGTCGCCAAGAAACCCTCGGGCACAATGGCTACAATGAGGAAAATGACAGCGTCCAGCCAGTGATGATAGCCCAAGACAAAGGCAATCATGAAAAACGACACCCCCGATAAAACAGCCCCGCCCGTGATGATATGTGGATAAAGTGCTCAATCTCCTATTGGCAATCGGGGTTTGACCAGTTTCCAGACCGGCAATTCTTCCCATGATTGTGTTGTCTCCAACTTGCACTACCATGCAGACCACGACAAGTACCTGCAAAAAGAAAAAGAAGAAAAAAACAAAACAAAACACGATGAGTAGTCTTTCCCAGAAACGAAAACAAGAAATGAATAAGTTAAATTGATGAAACAAAACGCTGGACCTTCCACGGCATTATAGTAGAGAAGAAGGCCAATGTGTTCCTATATAGTCTCCAAGGGATTCTCGTTGGTGAAATCAGGAGACCTCGACTGCGGCTCAGATTCGCCAGTCAATGAAGAGTTGTCAACTTTGAAGCCTCATCGGCACTCCATGACTCTCAAATCTGCAAGAAATCCTGTCGCCAATTTTCACATCAACCACATCACCGACGACCAACTCCTCCGCACGCACAGTCTGCTTCTGGCCATCACGGCATACCAAAGCATACTGCACAAATAATACATGATACATCAAACAGCGTTGATTCACCCACACAGATTGATTCGAATGTTCGAAGTCACTTTACCTGCGGGACCATGTTTTTGAAAGAGTTTATGATTTTCGAACTTTTAGCTTCCTGGTAGTATGAGAAGACACCCGTGACGACGACCACAGCAGCCAAAACAACTCCCAAGTACAACTTATATAAAAAAAAAATAAATAAAAAAACGTAAAAAAAAAAAAAAGGACAACACCATGGTCATTTCGAAAAGGAATACAGTATAGTGCTGTACAGTAATCAGGTCCATAGATTGTCACTCGTCAGCATCATGTGATATGTAGATACGAAAATAAAACAACTCACGTTGTCATCTGATGGAGGCTCCTCGAAAGTACTGGCCTGAATCGAGTAGGCCACAATAAAACACAAGATATAGCGCCGATCCACAGTGATGAAGCAAACCCGCCGAACAATTAAGTTCTTGCAAAATTTGACCCATTCCGGGATTGTCGGCGGTGATGGTGTCAAGGAATTCGGTCCATCTATCTCTCCACACGCAACTTTGCTTCTTTCTCACTCAAGCCCTGCCAGAAAATTTTGATGTAATCCAATCATTATATACACGACTAAATGAACATGAAAAAAATAAAATAAATCCTTCCCGATTTTCTTCCCCTTATATACCTGCCTTACGTTGCGACTATACAAAATCGTAACAATAAGATATCATCATCATCATTCCCTCGTCATTCTTTAATAGACGCGTTCAATGACCTTTTCCTATCCCGTGAAACAAAAAGAGGAAGTCAAGCAAAATGCACCCTTTCCCTGATCTCCGCGGCTACGAAAAACTACACACCTTTTTTCCTCTCTCACTCTCTATATTCACCCCCCGCCGCCGCAAAGTGCTAAAATCCCACCTCGCAAGTGTGTGGTTCAGGCGTGACGAAAAAGGCCAAGGGCAAATGCCCGGCTCGCAGGATACATCACACACTGCGTGTTTGTCGGTCGGTATAGGTGCATGATGATGAGCTCCGACCATGATGCCTGCCTTTCACGTCTCCTCACTCTGCGGCATCCATCCACGGTTGGTGTCATCCTTCCTTCCGTCCATTCCTCCTCCTTTTTCTTCCCATTGCTCGCCTGCACCAACACGCGGCGCCAAAAGGGGAAACCCGCAAGTCTTCAACAATATAGAAACGAGCTGTGCTTTCATCGCCGCAGAATAATAAACGAGGACCATAGTTTCTTCTTTCTTTCTTCGGGACGTTCTTCTTTAATAGCCCACCAAGCAGATGGAATAACATGCCAATTCTTTCTCTTCATCCTCCTTCTTCTTTTGCGATCTCATCCGGGATACATTCACTTTTTCCGCCCGTCCAACAATATCCTCCTGCTCCTCCCGGCCGATTCCAACACTACAAATATGTTTAGAAAACTGCGCGCATCAACTCTTGCTGCACAGCAGGTCACTATTCCACCGTAATTCAAATCAACAACCCTTCTTTTTAAAATTTTTTCCTTCCGACTAAAAATATGCAAACTGAACCGTGCTGACAACCCATGTCGCGAATACAAAAACAACCAACAATAAAGATCTGCTCGCTCTTCTCCGTTCCTTCCGAATATAAACTAAAGTGTCTATATCTCTTTCTAAGCCTGTATGCTCACACGGGGCTGCTGAAGAAATTCAAAAGCTTTCGTACACATTTTGATGAGATACACGACAAGGAAAGCACACTTTCCGCCATGCGTGTATATATATATATATACTGTATATATAAGAGATGAACAAAAACAACAACAAAAACCAGAAATTAGCCCAAATTTTGTTTTGTTCGATCGTAACGATCAAAGTCAGTTGCTGAAATTCGATAACTCAATGCTTGAAAGGATTATTAATTCCATCGTTTTTCGGTGAACTTGATTTTTTTCAGTCAGCCCCAAATGTAAGAAAAGAAAATAGATAAAGTAACCGAATACCTTGCTACACATGACGAGATTCGGTGCACCTTCCACATGAAAACAAACGAAAAAAAAAAAAAAAAAAAACACGAAGGTTCTCGTCCCAACAACCTTCCAAAAAAAAAAAAAAAAAAAAAAAAAAAAAAAAAAACACGAAGGTTCTCATCCCAACTCGAGATTAACAAAGTTAATAACAATCTGCCATACAGAACACCGTTGTACGCTTTCTTTCCGCCACACTGCCATTCCGGGAATACGACGGACGAGTCTTCAAAATGCCAGCAAAAAACAATACACTTCTTTTTGCTTCAGAGATTATTTTTTTTGGTTGTTCTTGTTCCTCATTCCTTTCGAGATTGCTCTTGTTCTAGTAGTAGGTCTCGTTTTCGACCCAACCGCCAGGATTCCGCCTCAATATGTAGCGACGAGCTTCGTCGTAAAGGAAGATAACGAGCGAGAACGGCATTGCCGGGATCCACCAGTTGAACCTGTGGACGAGGAAGTTGAAATTCCGTTCAACATTTTCCAACTCGAAACCATCACATTGCTGAAGTTGAAACTTTTTGAGCCAATAACAGGAAAAAGACAACGTACTTTAGGGGATACATCCGCAGGCCCTTGTCCATTCCCGGGGTGTAAGACAAAAAGGCTGCCAACAGAGTTTCGAACACAAGCCCGAAGTTCAGCACCCAGTTACTGAAAAGAATTAACACAGGAAACCCAGCAAAGTCAAGTCAAGTCTCCTTTGCATAAATCAGTAGTTCATACTCAAATACTCACGACATGCCCTGATGCAGAATGGAATTCCGCCGAGTCTTGCAGATGATCAAGTCGGCCCATTGCACAATCACGATGGACACGAAAAAGGCAGTGTGGCAAGTGTACTCTAGGATCTTTCGGTTGTGATACGTCCACTCTTGACCATAGGAATCCTTCAGGTCATTGACAGCCTTCGAGTCCCACGCCTTGCGCAGGCCCAGCAGAGTCATGGGTCTGAAACCATTCTCCGCCATGATGACAAAGTAGACGAAGAACCCGGCTGCTGCTTGGATCATGCCGATCTGCCCGTAGGCCATCGAGATCAACCTGGAAGAGATTTTTCAGACATGAACGGATATTGAACAATGTATACTGTGAATAGTGGAGGAGAGGAGAAGGAAGAAGAAGAGAATCGACGGTTGCTATCCTCCCGCCATCAACTCACCGCTCGTTGACGAGCTTGTCTGTGAAGGGATTCCTGGGCTGGCGCTTCATGATGTCGGCCTCTGCCTCTTCGTAGGCCAAAGAGATGGCCGGGACCATGTCAGTCCCCAGATCGATGCAGAGAATGGTGACGGTGCCCAGGGGCAGCGGGACGTCAGCCAGGATGAAAAGCAGGAACGGCGAGATCTCGGGGATGTTGGACGTGAGCGTGTAGGCGATGGACTTTTTCAAGTTGTCGAAAATGAGACGGCCTTCCTCCACGCCCGTCACGATGGACGCAAAGTTGTCGTCAAGCAGGATCATGTCTGCCGCCTGTTTGGACACGTCAGAGCCAGCAAATGCCCATGGCGACGCCGATGTCGGCCCGCTTGAGGGCAGGTGAGTCGTTGACGCCGTCGCCGGTGACAGCCACAATGGCACCGAGACGCTGGCAACCCTCGACAATGATGAGTTTCTGCATAAAGAGATTGAATCATTGATCACTCCAATGAAGAAAAAAGGCAACATTTTGAATAAAACAAGAAAAAAAAAAGAAAGAAAAGAATCCAACAGCAATCGACTGATGCCGTAGCAGAGTAAGTGCACTGCACGAGAAACAAACCTGTTGAGGAGATGTGCGAGCAAACACAATCTCGGGGTGATTTCGCAGAATGTTGTCCAACTCGTCAGACGACAGATCGCGGAGTTCCTGACCGTGGACTACACAAGCCTTGGCGTCATCTGGGTCCACGTCCTGCAAAGGCACGTTCATTCTTTCCGCAATGTCTTCTCTCGTCTCGCTTCCTAATATAAAATCAAGACCAGGACAAAAACCCATCAAATCTTCGTTGACTCGCACTTCTGACAAAACAGATCTTCTCTGTCCAAACATTCAATTGTATAGTATATACAAACACAATAAGAGAGGAGATCTTCACCTTCAGAGATGATGCCGACTGACTTAGCAATGGCTTTGGCAGTAATGGGATGATCACCAGTCACCATGATAACCTTGATGCCAGCAGATCGGCACTTGGAAACAGCTTCGAGCACATTCGGTCGAGGAGGATCGATCATGGAAATTAGTCCAACGAATCTCAGACCCTCCAGTGGAAAGTTCTGCTTCTCCGCGTCAAACGGATAATTTGTCGGATACTTGTCTTCCGGCAATTTATAGTCGCAAAAGCCTGCGTATGAAAGAATGACGTTGAAAACGCGCGAATAAGTAATAAGTTAGATATAAAAATGGGCAAGAATTGGGACTGAGATAGAACCAAGAGTTTCCACACGTGATATGACTGTTATTCACAATCAACATCTTCTGACTAATAAAACGACACTCGATTCACGTGAACATTTATTCGATATTTTTTTGCGTCCAACTTTCGTGACATCTTCAAGAGCGACACCTTCAAAAATAATGACGAAACACTACAAAAAATTAGTTAAGTTTAGCGGTAAGATGTCGACACTGCAAAACTCGACGCTAACGACACCCACACTTTCGGAAAAAGACCATCAAAAGATTATGCTTTTGTCAGAGGAGAGATGTCGCTAGTAACATTTTAAGAAACGACATCTATTTATTTTGAATTGAGTTGTTTTTACGGCTTCTATCAACTATGTGACGAGATGTCGCTCGTCGCGAAACAAAGAAGCGCATTTCCCCCTCGAATTCCCTCTGGAAACTCACCCAAAACGCGCTCTCCAAGACTGCCCAACTCCAGGTACGCCGTCTTGAATGCGTCCATATCCAGTTCTTTACCTCCAATGAGGATCGTTGCACACCGCTTCAGAATCCTCTCGGGAGCGCCTTTCATAACTATAGCAATCAGACCCTCCAGTGGAAAGTTCTGCTTCTCCGCGTCAAACGGATAATTTGTCGGATACTTGTCTTCCGGCAATTTATAGTCGCAAAAGCCTGCGTATGAAAGAATGACGTTGAAAACGCGCGAATAAGTAATAAGTTAGATATAAAAATGGGCAAGAATTGGGACTGAGATAGAACCAGGAGTTTCCACACGTGATATGACTGTTATTCACAATCAACATCTTCTGACTAATAAAACGACACTCGATTCACGTGAACATTTATTCGATCTTTTTTTGCGTCCAACTTTCGTGACATCTTCAAGAGCGACACCTACAAAAATAATGACGAAACACTACAAGAAATTAGTTAAGTTTAGCGGTAAGATGTCGACACTGCAAAACTCGACGCTAACGACACCCACACTTGCGGAAAAAGACCATCAAAAAATTATGATTTTGTCAGAGGAGAGATGTCGCTAGTAACATTTTAAGAAACGACATCTATTTATCTTGAATTGAGTTATTTTTACAGCATCTATCAACTATGTGACGAGATGTCGCTCGTCGCGAAACAAAGAAGCGCATTTCCCCCCGAATTCTTTCTGGAAACTCACCCAAAACGCGCTCTCCAAGGCTGCCCAACTCCAGGTACGCCCTCTGAAATGCGTCCTTCATGTTCTCATCCATATCCACTTCTTTACCCCCAATGAGGATCGTTGAACAGCGTTCCAGAATCCTCTCAGGAGCGCCTTTCATAACCAGCAAGTACGAATTGTCACTAGCATCCTCCGTCTCATGGATGCTCACCTGGAGCCGTCGAAAACACGTTTAATTTCGAGATTCACAAGGGATTGTCATTGCTTCATCGTTTTCGAATACAAACCTGGTATTTGTTGGTTGAATTGAAGGGAATCTCGCAGACCTTCTTGTGTCGTTGGCGATATTTCGCGATATCACCCATCGCAGCCTCCACGCATTTCAGAAGAGCAGCCTCCGAAGCATCTCCCGCAACTTCCCTGTTGAGAAAAAATAAAAATACCTAATAAATCCTCAACTTCAATCGTTGCTCGAGAAAAAAGAATACGAATATAAATATAAATTCCCTGTCACACTGAAATCTCATTACGAACCGTTGCAAGATGGGCTTTCCCTCCTGGTTTCCCTTGAACTCGGCTCGGTTGCATAAAGCGGCAATGCGTCCCAGGCAGCGCCAGCCTGTGCTGCTCTTGTCGAAGTGGGCGCCACTCTGGTCCTCGCTCGTGTCAGCAGCAATGATCTGATTGTCAAACCACATGTGGGCCACAGTCATGCGGTTTTGCGTCAGGGTTCCAGTCTTGTCCGAGCAGATGGTGGACGTTGATCCCAGCGTCTCCACAGCTTCCAAGTTCTTCACTAGGCAGTTCTTTGACGCCATTCGCTTGGCTGTCAGGGTCAGACAAACCTAAAAAAAGAGAAAATCAAATAAAAAACTATGTTCTTTTTGGACATGAGCATCAGATATGAGGATTAGTCAAAGAATGAAGAAGAAGAATCAACGCGAATACAAATGTACTGTACTGTAAGCTGACTATAGAAGAAGGAATTGAATAATCTCAGTAAGTTTGTTAGCAGCTATCCCTATAATCATAAAAATACATCACGCTAGGTTACAATATCGTTCAAGATGTCGGTCGGCTCGTCGATTACCACACGTCAACCTTGTTTCGAGGCCAAAAAAAATTTAATTTTCACTTGGGGAATACACCCGAAACGTTTCCAGTGCGTCGCATAGAGAAGTTGATCATCAACTCACGGTGACGGTCGCCAAGAGACCCTCGGGCACATTGGCTACAATGATACCGATGAGGAAAATGACAGCGTCCAGCCAGTGATAGCCCAAGACGAAGGCAATCATGAAAAACGACACCCCCAAGAAAACCGCCACGCCCGTGATGATGTGGATAAAGTGCTCGATCTCCTTGGCAATCGGGGTTTGACCAGTTTCCAGACCAGAAGCCAGACCGGCAATTCTTCCCATGACTGTGTTGTCTCCAACTTGCACTACCAGACCTCGGCAAGTACCTGCAACAAAAAAAAAAAACAAAAAAAAAACACGGTGAGTAGTCTTTCCCAGAAACGAAAACAAGAAATTAATAATTAAATTGATGAAACAAAACGCTGGACCTTCCACGGCATTAGTAGAGAAGAAGGCCAAGTTCCTAGTCTCCAAGGGATTCTCGTTGGTGAAATCGGGAGACCTCGACTGCGGCTCAGATTCGCCAGTCAATGAAGAGTTGTCAACTTTGAAGCCTCGGCACTCCATGACTCTCAGATCTGCAGGAATCCTGTCTCCAAATTTCACTTCAACCACATCACCGACGACCAACTCTTCTGCACGCACAGTCTGCTTCTGGCCATCACGGCATACCAAAGCATACTGCACAAATACATGATAAATCAGACGGCGTTGATTCAGCACTCAGACAAATTGATTCGACTGTACGAAGTCACTTTACCTGCGGGACCATGTTTTTGAAAGAGTCCATGATTTTCGAACTTTTAGCTTCCTGGTAGTATGAGAAGACACCCGTGACGATGACCACAGCAGCCAAAACAACTCCCAAGTACAACTTTAAAAATAAAAACAAACAACATTGCCATTTTGAAAAGGAATACAGTATTGCTGTACAGTAATCTGGTCCTAGATTGTCACTCGTCAGCATGTGATATGCAGATACGAAAATAAGACAACTCACGTTGTCATCTGGAGGCTCCTCGAAAGTACTGGCCTGAATCGAGTAGGCCACGAAGCACAAGATAGCGCCGATCCACAGTAATAAAGCAAATCCGCCGAACAAGTTCTTGCAAAATTTGACCCATTCCGGGATTGTCGGCGGTGGTGTCAAAGAATTCGGTCCATCTCTCTCCAGACGCAACTTTGCTTCTTTGTCACTCAAGCCCTGCCAGAAAAGTTTGATATAATCCAGTCATTACACAAATAAATAAACATTGTTAATATGCATTAACTGTTTTTTAAATAAAAAAAACTCACACGCTCCGCGTCGACTTGGAATCGACGGTAAAGTTCCTCAATCGGCACCTTGTGCACGTCGATATCCAATTCTTGCTTTAGCGCGTCCAAATCCTTCCCGGTTTTCTTCCCCTTACCCGCCTTACGTTGCGACTAAAATCGTAACAAGATACCATCATCATTCCCTCGTCACTCTTTAATAGACGCATTCAATGCGCAATTTCGTCAAGTTCATTACTAACCACGCATTCGATAATTCGTGCAACCTACTTAAAAAAAACCATATTAAACGCAATAAGGTAATAAACAAGAACGCAGGTCTATACCTTTTCTTTCCCATGAATCGTGCGATTGTCATCGGGAACACTCGGGGAAGTGGCGACACGATACGAATCTGATCTTCCATACTGTTCCATACAATTCAGGAAAAAAACAAATACAAAATCATGCGCTGACTACACAAGCAGTAAAAATTTTCGAATGGTTTATAATCACGTCATGACTAGGAAATAATTTTCTCATCGTCATGCAACATATAGTTTCTACATACGGTACACAAAAACTGCTTTCGGCATTCAGTTGTCCATGCTTCGATAAGCATGACTACACATTAAATTACTGTATAGGACAATTGCAGGATTATTTATGAACCGAAGAACAGGAATGCAAAATCCGACACAAATATTCTACAAGCGGGCGTCACAAAAAATCAACGTTCACTCTTCCGTCGGTCGCTATAAACGTAATAAAAGTTTAAAAAATAAAATGAAAATACTCACGTCCGACATGATGATTTTCCGTCAAGAATCGTCGGTTTCCGACGAAAATAAAATAATACGAACACCTCTCAACTTTGCCCTTCAATAATTATTACTTTTTGGCTTCAGACCGACGACACGAGCACCATCAACAATAGAATTGCTGAAAAAATCTTCACAGGAGGAGGGCACAGCGTCGTCTGGAATGCAAAAAAAAAAAAAAAAAAATTCAGTCTGTCATTTTTCCGGAAAACGCTTACATGGAATTTCCCCCTGGTTTTCGTTCCGGCTGCTCAACAGAATGAACACACACACACCCTCTCACTCACACCTTCGGTATGCGCGCAGCCATTATACATCCGTTCAAGCCCAAGCGGCGCCTTCCGCAATAATCACAGAGAAATAACTCGCACACTACAGGGCACAAATAAAAAACCGAGTCAAGTAATCACATCATCACAATTATCCGTACACCTCTCATCCCATGCCGAAACTGAAAAAAAAAAATCACTGCGAAAGGAAATAATAGAACGAAACACGAGCGCTAAAAGTTGAAACGGGGCACTGACTACAGTACATACTGTATTCATGAAGTGCGGGGGGAAACAATCGATGGCATTCGAGGCAAAACCGACGCGACGGACACGCAAAAAAGGAAAAAAAAGATGGAGGCCTGCCCGTCTCTCTCTACACACATACACACACACACACACATAGGAAGGCAGGCACAGACTAGGTCGTGTCACTTCCTATCCACAGACGCAAGCTCTTATTGCACATCGCACACCGTCGTCGTTCTTTTCCGAACCACTGCGCAGTCTCACAACGCCGCGGAATCTCCTGCTGCCGCTGCTCCACATCATCCCATAGCACACACTCACTCACTCCGCCCGAATCCCCCTTTCGTCCTATCCCTGTTTCCCACGGAGCACCAAAAAATGAAAAAAAAAAGAAAATCAAATTTGGAACATTCCTGCACTGAGATTCTGAATCACCCACATGCAGACGCAATATTCCTCATCGTAGACATGACACAAGACTCAAAATGCACATGTCTAAATCTGCTCTTTCCCATCATCAAATGTTACGCCGTTGCGGATATGTATTGTTTCTTTTTTCCACACACAGTATAGGAAGGAAAATGTTGAGCGATATTTGGATGAGGCATTCCAGGACATCGGCGATTAAGACCAGAAACATTTTCAGTGCACTTTCAAACAAGGAGATGTGAAAAAAGAAGGAACAAAAAAAAACGATAGTTTGATTTATTTGAAGAGGGACTTTCAAGGAAATGAGAAACCTTCGTGTTCAACGAGGAAAAATCCAACTACAATACATGCACTTTTCCTCCGACATCGTTGCAACCCACAAATGATAGGTATAACAAATGACATGTTTCTTCATTTCCAGTTGTATACAGTAGAGCTCCATTTCGATGAAATCCTTTCTTCTTCGCACCTTCACTTTATTGCTGGAGTCACACAGCAGCACGGACATTCAAGTCCTACCCGGAATTGAATATTTCTTGACCTGACCATATATACTGTACAGTATTACACGTTGAAATATTTCATTTCCCGCTTTTCCGTCGGCTTGATGAAACGTCAATCAATAGATGACACTCTTGTCCTTTTCACGTCATATACCGTACTATTTTTCAGGTCCCTCCCTTTTTTTTTTTTATTGATTCATTGTGTGGATGCCCCTCCTTTCATCCCGATTTATTGAGGGCAAGGAAAACGAAGTCAAATTCGACACTATTCGTCCACTGCACTGCATCCGTTTTCCACATTACATTACATTACATACATTCGCGGCTTAGTCCTCGGAAATAACCCATCAGAAGCAGCAAGTAGGAAAGCAGGCAGCAACACGCACCGAAGCCTCGCTCTCCTACACACACGAGCACCCCGACTGAAGTGTGGAAAAACCTGGCAGAAGGAAGAACAACTAGCTCTTTCTCTGCTCTGCTGCATGCCTATACACGCTACATACGCCAACAGGGTGCCCCTCTGCCAAGTTTTTCTGCATCAGAGAATGACTCTCGTCCCGGCACACCCACACCTCACCCTTTACTTCTCTTTCTCTCTTCATCCACATATATACACACACTCACTCACTCTCTCTATCTCCCATCTCTTCTTCTCAAAAACAAAATAAAACAAAAAATCCTCCCTCGACATTCAAGCAAGAGCAAAACGGCAGCAGAAAGTATCCTCAACGGTGCTGTGAGACAGTATAGTCATACCTGCCGTCTCGTCGTCTTCCCCACCCCCCCACCCCCTCTGGCCCCAGCTACAGAACAACGAAGAGTCGTCAGGGACACACACAACCTCAAACCTCACCTCCTTCCTTCCTTCCTTGCTCCCTCACCTCATCCCGTTCCGACCCCTACAATAAATAGGTGCATGCTCTTATTGCTGCTGCTGTTGGGCGATGTGGATAAATATTGTTATCCAAAACTATTTTACGAAAGTTGTTGGTCAACGATGATCAGTCGTTGATGACTCTTTCTAATAATTAAAGGAAAAGGGGATCGGAGATTTAAATCGTTTTCCGTGACTTTCGAAGGAAACGCAAAAGTTACTCCATGAGAGTATTCAAAATGTTTATTTATTTATCTTCACACACAGTCGATACAATAATGTTCTAGCGAGAGCGAAGCGACGCAGATTCGGCATTCGGACAGT